TTTTAATTTCACTATTTTTGCTGATAAAATAAAATTTGCTAAATTAAGGTATAATGCTCTACTAAGTTTTTTACATGTGCACATTTGTTAGCGCATTATTCGTTTTAGTATTACCAGTAGTAAACAGTGTACAAACTTTTTAGGTTCATTTTAGCAGCGGTTTCCATAGACCACATTGAAAACATTTTCTTGATAAATTACTCACTAAAAAATATTGTAATTTTTTAAATAATTCTAGACATTTAAAAGTACCTTGTAAGACACTATTTATCTTTTTTTCATCAAATGTCACCGAGCAAAATTTTTATATATATCTGTTCCATAAAATACCCCAAAACAGACAAAACATGCTGTTTTTATTCCATTTTGTACATTGATTTTCTCTGAATTGAGTACAGTGGCCCTGTATTTTTATTCCATTTATTTCAGCCTGAGCCTCATGATATGAAATATAAAATATGTAAAAATGAAATATTTTTACTTTTGTTTAGCTTTCTACTTTAACTCTACATGGACATGTGAAATAACAATTTAATAACTCGTTATTTCCCTGTCAAGTTCATAAACTTAAGACTAAATGAAATTGCTCAAAACATCAAAATAGTTTCACTATTAATCTGTGCATTTTATTGACCTAAATTATTTTGTTCACTTTTGTAGCGGCAAATGTCCTTGTACAAAAATCTGACAGCGAGATGCATTTATTTAAGTCTTTTCCTGTAGCTGCATGTATAAGTACAGCCTTAAACTTTTGTTCCTGACTTACAGTAAATCATTGTTATAGCCCTCTCCTTAAAACAGACGGGGGAACATTTTTAAAAAAAATAAAAAAAATTCATATTTTGCATAGCAATAGACTAATACATCATACATCAAGTGATTGATTGAATGATTGATGATGACTGTTGTTTCTATGGAAATGATGATTTTGTGATTTCTCCAAGAGTATTTAGTCATATACATGTGTGTATTGATATCTGTCCCCATTTTATTTTTCCAATTTTCAAAAGTCTTTTAAGAGCTAGAATACTGAGTCAATAGTATCTTGAATATCATCCATACAAGGGAACTTACAGCTAAAAATTTTATTGACCAGAAACTTCTATTTTTAAGGATGCCATATATCTGATTATATCTCTTAATTCCCACTGGCAGAAATAAAACTGTATGTGTTATCCTGCATTTCCCTTAGTAGAGACAAGTAATACTATTTCCAACAGATGACAAAAATGGTTTCTCTGCTTGCTATAGAATTATAATCATGCAGCGCACTCATTGATATTCACAGCATTCCTCACGGCTAGTTTTCCCAAGTGTAGCTTTTTATGTGCAGAAAATCTTATTTGTGATGATGGTTAGGCGAGGGAAGGGAAGGGAGGGAGTCTTATGAATGCCTCCTTTAATAATGTCTACCTGGTGAACATTTCCATCAGTCAAATGGAGTGTACAGAGCTCTCCATCTCCTTCGTGGCATTATAATATTTTCAATTGAATTTTTTGTATGCATTCATGCATGCAATCTTGAAGTGTTACCTTCGTCATCAGTTGTGTTTACTGCAAGATCACGTTTCGGTACCATTGGATATTCTAAATTAGAGCTTATAGTGATTTACCAATAATTCACCAAAATATAAAATTTAATAGTGTAATGTTGACTATTTCTAGTTAAATGTCAATTTAATATATGATGTTTCATTTAAATACTTTAATTGATTTGATTAGTTAATTCAATTGCACATACCATCAGAATTGCATAATGTACAAGATGATATTAAATGATGTCAATGTCACAATTTTATTTTTCAAATGTATTCATTTTAACAAGTACTTTGTCTGCCTGTATGCATATTGAATATTAATAACTGCATGTATATTTCTCCTCTGAAGTAATAGATTTGGTTTACCACAATTTTGCATGTTAATTAACTAATTAGCATAATGATTCTGGATTTCCATGTGACTATTGCTGTACTATTGCTTGCATTAATGAACTAACCAAGTTGATTAGTTTTCATACAAATCTTTCTCACCATGCATTGATTCACCAGGATCCATTACACGCTTTTACCTAGATGACAAAATTGCTCAAATGAAATAAAATGTGAATAGACATATTCTTTTGATATACAGTATATATATATATATATATATATATATATAGTCAAAAATCTATTCATTTACAAAAAAATGAAAATACCCTGTGTCTCTATACAGATGATTTTTTCTGTTGAAATACTGTACTTGCAGTTTGTATGCTGAAACCACAAACATTATTAAAAAGTAATAAGAATAGATTTGATATGTTATTATCGTAACCTTTACAGCAATGTTATCTTTCAGTTGATTGTGATTGGATTTAGTTAATACGCATTACAGGCTATTATTAAAAAAACAGTCATACAACCTGCCCATTAAATTATCATCATTAATAAAAATCCAGATTATATTTAATTATCTGCATCCTGTGATTTCTAATTAAAAAACACACCCACCCCTCCCTTCCCCTCCCCTTCCCAACATACTGTTATACCTTATAACTCCACACAATATTTATGTGGAAGGAAGAAAAAACAAATTTGCTCTGAATTATCAGACATTGAGAAATGTTTTGTCGCCACTGAGTCTGAGAAAATGCAGACCCAATGCCTCTTGGTATTTTAAAAAATTCAATAAGTATGCATGAATTTGTTGAATGTGGATATGCATCTGTACAAATCAATAGTCTATACTTATAGCTACATAGATAATATAATAATCTTGGGTTGTAATAAATACATGCATACACATGAAATAATTGAGGGGTGGATGTTCTGACTTAATAATAATTAAAATGTAAAACATGATTTATTTAAAAAAGGAAAAATTTTAGTATTTGAAAAGCATGATTGCTATAGCATATAGTGCATGTATATCACGGCTTGATCATCAGTATTCTGAAGGAACTCAATCCTTATATGCACATACAGTATTATTGAAAACTAGTCAATACATTGAGTTAAATCTATTAAGAAAAGAAGCTAAGTGGCCTTGTGTGGATCAATGGCAAAATCTTATAGTTGTATAACAAATTCACTCAATTTAAAGTTCTGAAGACTTTTTTCGTCAATCTGTAAGTGTTGGGTTCTTGAAAATAAGTGTTATACCCACCTTAATATGCCCAGTGTCAATAATAATGAAATGAGATTTTGAAATGTGCATGTATGCAGCTTTTGAGTAAAAATGTTTGTTCTGCCCTATATAATCACAATGAAAAGTCTTGATATGAGAAATGGGTCAACTGAAAGTGTTATTAAATAACAGGATGTTTTTCTATTTGCTTTACCACATGCCATTATTGAAACACACTTAACTGTACAGTAAGCACCTGTGGTTGTGGTTGACGTTTTGTGATCTATTGGGAGACACCTTTGTCAACTGTACTTTCTGCTAAATACATACTGCAACTAAAGTGTTGTCCTGCCGTTAGCTATTATGCCATGGTTGTTACACATACATCAATCACGACTGGTCTCTGTTCAATATTAAAGTGCTCTAAGTTGTTTAAGTAATTATCAATTAATAAATAAATTCAAATTTGGAATGTTTTATTTATCAATCGGTTTCAGTTAGATAATTGTGGGTGTTGCATGCTGAAATAAAAAATGTTCAAATTTGTAATCAGAGCTATATACTCACATTAACCCTGGTCCTTGTAGTGTACCGGTATTGGTAAATTCATTCATCATATTCATGAAATATAGTGGAACTATTGAAGCTGTGCCCCTTGGGAAGAACTTCATCACCTCAATTACTTCTTTGGAGTTGGATGTTTAATTATGCATATATCTTATTCCACATGTCCATTGAGAGCATGTTATACATGATTGTTTTGTGACCTTAGTATTTGAATGTATATACATGTATCTAATTCTAGAATGACTGCTGGGACGTCAATAGTACTCAGTTTACTATGGTCATCAGGGCTTCCTTGGGGTGGAACATTTTGTGACCTTATTATTTATGCACATATCTGTTATCTGACTTTAGATTGTCTGTTGGACGTCATTCTTTGTTTCGTAATGACATTGTTAATTTTATAAAATATCTCTTTTTGGATTTTGGGCTCAATTCCTGTAGGAATTACTATTATTATTACTGCCATTATTTATCAAGAAGATGAAGCCACTTTTCTGAGCAAGACTTTTACTGGCGTAGTCAATTGTTTTTACTTGATGTGCTGAAAGGCAGGCCTCTCGCTAGACTAAAAGTTATAACTATGACTGATACTAGTTGCACTTCAAACAAAACAAACAGATAATTTTGATTCTTGCACAAGAAGAACTTTCATTGTCTCAAAGAAAAAATAAATTAACTATCAGTAAAACTGTTGCCCAGATAGTTCAACTGGCTTTGTGATGTCAGTATTATGTCCAAACCTACATTATATTAAAACTGAATGCCTTTGAAGACAATGTATTTGAATTACAAAGGTTTTACCATTTGTCAAACAAGTCTGGTTTTAATGAATTGTGTCACAAGAAATGGACCTTATGAGTCCAGCACATGTACACATAACTTTATTTTGTTAAGATAATGCTTACAAGAACATTTACCCCGGTATGTTATCTAAATAACTTTCTCAGTGGCAAGGTCCTAATAGTTTAACTGTATTTTCACATTTAGTTTAGTTTTTGTGTGTATGTCCTGGTAATGAGTTGACAAGTACACTGTTGTTATGTATATGTATGTTTCTGTACGCGAAACATCCAACAAACAAATGGTCCAGGAATATAATTTATCATACATCGTAAAAATTTACAGAAACTAGAGTTCACTTCAGAAATGTGCCAGTAGTACTTATTCGGCTTTTAGCTGAATCTTTGTGCAAGTAACATAACAAAGTCAATGGCAGTAGGGGCATATAACATTTAGTATAAAATCATCTATCTTACCATACCTCTTCTACACATTGTTTTTGTATTTATAATCTAAAAATCACTGATTGTTTGTTTCTAATACAGATCTGTAGCTGATGGTAAGAAGAGAATATCTTGCAATGGGCTAACACAGCAAGATTCATTAAGTGGTCTTTTACCAAGTGGAGTTCAACCTCTGTCTTCAAACAAAACAGGTAAGAAACTAGCACTTGATAGCTCTATTAATTATGCATCCACATAGGTTTCCTGAATTCTGATAGCCTTCTATAATGTGAAACTATTAATTAACAGTGCTTAGAAATCTTATATTGTATTGTATTGTTGAAGGTATCTTAATAAAATCAAAATCAGAATGAGGTGCTCAGTGTGTGAATCAATCAGAATGATTATGGAATGATCAACTTGAACTTCCATGGCCAATTCTGATAAAGTGTCTTAGAGTGAAATAATGCGTAGAGAATCTCTGCCTTTTTTGAAAGACAAGTCGATCGTGCTTTTGATGGAATATAAATGATTTTCAGTTTTAGTCAGTGAAAAAAACTAAACTAAATTAGAAACTGTCAGTCAAAATATATCTAGGCATTCTAACATCCACTATAAATTGAAGGAGAATTGGTACCGTTAATTCAACCCCTAACTTACAAATAATTTGATTATAATTATAATAGCAAGTCAATTTACAGTGAAATATTGCAATGATTTTATATTTAAAGAAAGTGTTGCACACTTTAATTGTCAGTACACTCACATACTGTGTGGGTGAGAGGTCATCTACGTGGGGAGCTAACGACAGACATACTGACGCTGTGGAAAATTATATTCATTCCATGCAGTTCATTGAAAAAGAGCTTATCTGTGCAATTAGTGCCTGTGTGTTTTGTGAATAATTTGTTTAACTATAGCTGCTCTCTGTTTGTTGTAGGAATGTACACATTCCTTCATACAGTATACACATCTGTGCCAACAAAGAGCGCTAGTCAGCCTGATTCATCATTATACCTAAAATCTTTATTCATTTTATTTCACTGATACCGCATTTACATTTGTTTTTTTCTAGTATTTATCTGAGAGTATTTAAGTATTCAATGTGAACAAAAAGTAATATTATTATGTCCACTAATGAATGTGAAAATTAATATTAATTTAAACAATAATTGCATCTTCCCAGATTGGCCAGGTTGAGTAAAATCATTATTATATATCGTATGCATGCAATTTCAATGTGAATTTGGTGTGGTTTTCAGTAATATACATTATTATACATCTGTCAATCTAACGCCATAAGTTACAGGGTGCCGTAATTTTGCGGTATTGGACTGGGTATTTTCATCCTACCCTATTAGGAAACGCGAATTCCAAATATGGAAAGAATACGTGCGTTGGCCGATATTCCCGCTGTACTGTCTTACTTTGCAGTGTACTTGTATTAATCTCATAGTATTTATTCAATGAATATTATGTCAGTCGTGCTTTCCTTCAGCTTCATCATCAGGATATTTTTTTTTGATTTAAACACTCTTGTGCTTTTTTTAGGATATCCATAATTGTAAATAGTCACCTTATGTTTATACTAAATACTGGTAGTGTGGCACACCTAATGGTGTGAACCCCCTCCTTCTCTCCGAAAAACAAACAAAACAATGCTACTTCTGCAAATCATATCGAAGAAAAACAAAATTAAATGATCTGTTGGTAAATTTATTTTGTGCCGCACATTTCTCTATAATGCAATTTCTTGACAGTTTCTATAGAGGGCGCTTGTTCATGACAATTTCTACAGTAAGATAGTATAATCTGTATTGCATTACTGATCTAATCTGACACTGAGTGACAACGATACAAATAACCATCAAGGAAGACATTTTTAAAGTATTAGTATTTCAGCTCCTATCACTGGATAATCAGTTTTAAACCTACATTCATGTCTTTTTAAGATTTGGCACATTTGAAATGATAAGATTTGCTTTTGATTCCAGACACTGCACTGTTAGCTAAGAGAGAGATTTGTAGGAACACTGACAAGGATACATCGTAGTTTTAGACTGCCAAGAAACCACGTAGAGCTTGTAATTGCATTATATCATCAGCACTGATCCATGGACACCCCAACAGCATGCATCACCAGACTTACATATTTATATAATTACTACACCAGTGTCTAGAACTGCATGCATGATTAATGTTTTATAAGAGAAAGCAACCACTTTAGCAATAATAGATCTGCTTTCAAAATATTTAAAAACCCTCTCCAAATTAATAAATGTGTACAACGACAAGGTGCACCGATATTAAATGTCAGTGATTGCTACGTCATTTGATAATTTATCAGTTATGTGATTATTGCCACCCCATTACTGTGCTACTGACTACCTAAATGGCATGGTAGCAAATTGAAACACAGATGGGTTATTTTGTTCAATGACTTCATGAATTCCTTACTGGTAACTGAATTTTTACAAATAAAAATATTGTTTCAAACTTTTGTCCCTTTCTTGTTTTGATAGTTGTTCCATGATTGGGATGGAAGTTTAATTTTATATAAATGTACCGTAATCGTGTGCAGGGTTTTCCATAGTGACAGTAAAATGTGCACCCGCCTACCTACAAGAAATAATGGTAGACCTTATAATTTGTTTACATTTTGTTATAGTACATGTACTAGTATATGCCATAGAGCCTAATGATACATGGAGTGAACATTAAATGTGTGGCATCATTGGTTGCAGTGAATGCACATAAATAAACATATAAGCAAATCAAATCAAATCAAATCAACAGTAATATTCTTCCATTCAGCATTGGCATCACATGCTATATATAAACAAATAAACATGACATAAAGAATAGATGTGGTAATTAGTATTATGAGGCATCTGACACCTAAAACAATGGAATTTACTCATTCCTAAAACGCTGCATGAAAGTGATTGAAAGTGTTATGGACCCATTCGAATGTCTCGCTTATTTGGTTATTATACATTACGTTTACGTCACATTTGAACACTTTCCAATATTTACTTCAGACGTAGATGTGTTATCAGCAATTGATGGAAATAGAATCCTGTCACTAAATGCAAACTATCACACAAAAATGTATTAATAAGGTTATCATGAGTTAAGCTCCTCTACATGTCAGTCGTTACAACCACTGTATTTTGTAGTATTCTCATCATAACCTCATGTGTTTTCACTTTAGGGCTGAAAATCCAAATAAATCATCAGTACTATTTTTTTATTTTTGATTGCTATCACTGTATTACTACTATGAAACTCCATTTTCCATCGTCTATTTCAAAGATTCATATCTTACCACAAATTGTACATTGTAAAAATAAAAATTGTTACCATTCCATAGTTCAAACTCATACAATTCTTGAGTATTCTGTCAATATCAGTACCAAAATAAAGTAATAATCAGGGGTCTGTTGGTGCAAGGATTTGTGGGTAATACAGCAATGCGATTACATTTACATTTGGAGTGATTGGCTGAAACCATGACATGTTTGAAAGGTCATTAATATGCTTAATTAATATCTCAAGCACTGCAATCAGTGAAATACTGAAGCCAATGGAAAAAAAATGCGACTAACATATCAGATGACCATATATGATCATATGTATTACTGTACTATCTCAAGCAATGCTTTAGTTAGGATTATACAACTCGTGCTATAGTGAAGACATTAGATTATATATGGTCATGTGACCTTATGAATATGCAAAGCTTTAATATCTGGGCACTGTTGCAGATAGGACAATGCAACCAGTCCAATAATGAAGGCATCGGACAAAAGATATGACTACTTATCATGTGACTATATATATATGCTGTAATATCTCTGGGAACAACCCTGATTACTGCTTGCAGTCGTATTTTTAAAAACCATATTAGCTATATTAGAAGCACATGTGCTTATGTAAATGACAGAGGCGAGTGTGATGAAAATACAACATATTTCAATGATTGTGTAAACAATAAATGCTATTTTTGCTTTATGTGCACTTCTATTGGAGATTTGCTTCTACTATAGTGAATACAGTATTCCTTATTTGTAATTATGCCGCCATTAATCCTCATCACACAGCAGTATTTCTAAGGTTTCCCTTATTTATTTTTCTCTTGGAACCCATAATCAAGATTTATATAAAGAATATATTTTGTAATAGCATGCCACTGATCTTAAGTAATATTTTATATTTGTCTTACAGTTTTATGTACACCAATTGTGGATTCACAGACAGATAATGTTGTTTGTGTTCTTGGGGTAAGTGTAATTATAATAATTTCTCTATTTATGTATTGTCATAAAATTCCATTTTTAGCTCCGTTGTCGACTTTGTCAAGCGGAGCTTATCATATGAGTGATTGTCCGTCGTCGTCGTCCGTGTCAATGTTTTACTTTTTCGACTTCTTCTTGAAAACTACAAGCCTGAATGCTTTGATACTTGGTGTATATGTACCTTGGGTAGACCTCTCTTAGGTTTGTTCATTTCATGTTGATATCTTCAATTCTCTAATTTTGGTGAATATTTTTGTCATTTTTGGTAAAAAGTGATATTTTCGACTTCTTGTTAAAAACCGCAAGTGCAATTGCTTTGATATTACATATATAGGTACTACATGTGGACCTCTCTCAGATTTGTTCATTTTGTAATGATATCTTTAATTCTCTAATTTTGGTGAATATTTTTGTCATTTTTGGTAAAAAGTGATATTTTCGACTTCTTGTTGAAAACTGTAAGTCCGATTGCTTTGATATTACATATATAGGTACTACATGTGGACCTCTCTCAGATTTGTTCGTTTTGTGATGATATCTTCAATTCTCTAATTAATTTATTTTGGTGAATATTTTTGTAATTTTTGGTAAAAAGTGATATTTTCGACTTCTTGTTAAAAACTGTAAGTCCGATTGCTTTGATACTATTCATATTGTTCATTTTCTAATGATGTCTTCAGTTCTTTAATTGAAATGTGCATTGCTAACAGCGGAGCTATCTCAGCCGATAGGCTGCTTGTTAATTTTACATGTCCAACATCATTTAACAGACATTCATGGATTATGTAATAGTATAATAGTAGTAATAGTATATAAAATGACTGAGTTGTTAGTGAATGAATAGACATATTAATGCACTGGATGAAATTCAAGGTCCTATATAAGATGTGTTTACACTACAAGATCTTGGCAGGTGCCAAATATTATCAACCCTTCATGTTTGCAGAGAGATTTCCACAGTTGCATTCATGTTCACGGTGTCTCACTTATGACTGATGTGTTACTTGGCTTGTGCCAAAATCTCATCTTCATTGTTGATATATTGTATGTCCAAAACATGGCAGACAAAATGCAAGTTTTTAACACATGCCTGATGCCATTTACTGTTAATCATAAAACACCAACAGAAAAGAAAAATCTACTTTTTACCTTGCCCATACCATCAAAGATGGAAGGGAAAGGTATATTAAGGGAAAAATTTTGTCCGGCGTTGTCGTTGTTGTTGTTGTTGTCGTCATCGTTGTTAATAATTGTTATTGTGTGCATAATAACTTTACTAATTTTATTCCAAACTTCATCAAACTTGGTCACCTTATTCATCAGTATAAAGTCTTCCCTGAGTTTGAACAACAGATGTTCTGTATAAAAATATCATGCAAAAATTGAGAAAATCTGATAAAATATTTTGACTGTTTCTACTTGACTGATCACTGGTGATACACATCACACATCTCAGTGGAAATATGCATTGTTGTATGTGTTCAATGAAGCAAATGATTTATCTTGTAATACTATCCTTGGCAATGTATCCCAGAATCTCATACTGGGTTTCAAAACCAACTCATGGAGAGATTGCACAGTCTAATACACATTTGCAAACCTACCAATAAAATCTTTACAGAAAACAAGATGTCAGAAAATCAATATAAGCACTCCTATGAACTGGGTGCCAAACTTTGATCAAGATCTGAAGCTAATAGAAAATCTGTTTAGTTCAAAGTTATCAAAAACAATACATAAAAAATACATAAAAAGCAAAACATTTCATCCACATTTTAAAAAGAAAATTGTTCTAAAATATATGTATTCTGTATTTGACAAACAGTTCATTCGACAAATGAAAACTCATAGGAATATGTTTCAGCTATTAGAACAGAATGATAGAGTTTTTATAATACTAGTTTAAAAACGCACTTCAAAGATTGCAGTGTTTGAAGATGTAGATTCTCAGGAGGCAACAGTACTGTTGACTTCTCCCTCCATTGGACACCAACTAACTATTTAAGTTGATTTGCATACAAAGCAGAGCTTGCAACAAGATAGCTATTCATAAAGAGTGTTTTTTTTTTATTTTTCATGTAATACAGTAGTCACACAATGAGGCAGTTCATATTTGTCTCAGTGAATCATAAATTTTTGACAGACACCTGTACAAAATACTTGGACAAAAGCCAGCTAAGATTTTCTGTTATCTTGCATGTTTCATGAATCTATTCACGTCTAAATGCAGCACTTTTTTTTTGCGATGAGGCATTTGTTTTTATACTAAAATATCTGAATTACTTTGAATAAAGCTGGAAATTATGTCCCTTAAAATAATTAAACAAATAAGGCACCAATGTTTTTGTAAGATATTTACATCTTTTAAGGACATTCCCAAAACTTGTTTGTATTCAAAATTAATTATGACAATGCATATTTATATTGAAACAAACTATGATAAAGGGTATTTTATTATATAACAAAGGGCAAGGTCACCAGAGTTCACTATGTTTTTATTATGGAATCCAATGTGTTTGAATTAGTTCTTCATGACTAACATGTTTCTTGTTCCATGTTTAACTAACTATATACATTATACATCCAGGGAGGTTATATGTCATCTTCTTTTCAGACACTGAGAAGTGCCCTTACTACTGCTTCAGACCATATTTATTCTTGAATAATTAACTCTGCTTGTATCTATCTGCCCTATTTTCTCTGAGGTTCACCACTGAGACATGATTTCAGCATGTCTTGAACATGTATTTGCCAAGTTGAATCCCAGCTCTCTATCAAGACTGAGATTGTTTTGTTTTTTTGGCATGTGGTGTCTCTGTCCTTACCATTCACACACACATTTTGACATGTGTCGTCTTGATCATGATGATCAGCAAGTCTCAAGATATTTAACGTGAACACAACTATATATTATCATGGTAAATTTGTTGACGGTACATGAAATAATTAGTTGTACATTGTAGACATGCATTTACCAAAAATGAATGCATAGATGTATGTTACTATATGAGTTTCCATTATTGATAAATCTGTCTTGTTGATCTAATATATGATCTCTTGACTAAGACTTTCTTAATCTTGTCAATGTTTCTCCTTTAATATAGTGGTAATTATTTGTAACCCAGTAGCAATGTATTTTTTTAAAATTCTTCTGCTTATTGTTTATTTCATGTGTTTCATGCCCAGTCAGTGTATATGCAGTCTGTAATAAAGACATTAATCATTGCGTGTATACTGGCAGACAGTTGTCAGAATTAATGTCAGCTATTTATAGAGCTAGCGTGCTTATCATTCAGGATCAGTGCCTGCTTACAAATTGGTATTCCAGGTCTGCAGTAAGAACTCTCTACATCTCTATATCTTTAAATGAGAAACTATAAAACAATTACTTATACTGAAGGTGATAGTGAATGCACCACCATGAATCAGTATGATGAAGTGTTTACATGTGATACCTGAATAGGGATACAAATGCAATGTGTTAAGTATGTCCCTACACAGGATGTAAAATCCTGATAAGCTGTTACCAGCCTAAGTTGTCATAGCAGGAGGAATGTCATGTATAACCCATGATCGCCATGCTATTTAGTTTCAACTGACTGTATTGAATTTCTGCCAATTTCCTGTCTAATTTTCTGTAAAACTCTGAACTGGGGAGCTTTAATTCTATCAGCTAGGGAATGGCTCTAACCCATTCATTATTGCATAATCATCCATCTAAACTATAGCTGTCAGTACTGCTGGTAAATTTGTCATCTTACAATCACCTATCATCTATCTTGTTGAGTTCACAATCATGTTATAAATGAATGACTGTTAGTAGACTGACTTTTCTTTTATTGCAGTATTCACTGGCCCCAAGCAAAATGCTGTGAAATATTCTCATTATTTTCAAATTCATCATGACTGAATGATTATGCCCCTTGTTTCACACCATGCTAGTGTTTCCAATGCGTCTCAATTAGTGCTTTACAAACCATGGGATATTTTCTTGTGACTGAAGGCATAAGATAATGTCAGTCTTGTAATGATACATCATTTGGTATGTTTGTATTTAAATACATGTACATTTCAAATAATATAATCCTTTGTTCTTTCCTAATTGCAGGTTGTATGTGATGTTATAACATTGGTGGATGAGAAAAAATTAAATTTACTTGAGAAACATGTGAGTATTAATATCAAATTCTGTAAAAAGAAAATCTGATGAAATATCTGCCAGAC